GGTACATCTGGGTCAGCCAATGCTTTCAAGTTGAAAGCTTCCATGACACACTTGTTGTTCCTTTACCCTCTCTGGGTGTGCAAAGATAGGGGAGGTGAGACTTGAAGAAATAATTCTGCTGGTGCAGAAAAAGGGATCCGATACCGTGGTCCCTTTGCTCAGGGTTAGTTGTGCCAAATCCTGGTTTCTGTCAAATTCTTTGGAATGACTCCTCAATTGCTGATTTGAAGCTGGAATGCCTTGGAGCAGCAGCTATTGAGAAGTATTACCAACTAAATAAGGTGACATTTTTTTTGTGGATTAATTCTGGACTTGAAATTTGCTATCTCATTATTCCTTACCTGCCCATGTTTTATTAATGACCTTACCATTTGAGAGAGGGAAGGAAATCCCATTTTATGGCGGGTATTCTTCTCTTCCTGCTAGGATGACACATGATTTTATCCTCTGTGAAACCATGTAAAGAATTAGTTCTTTTAGCTCTAAAAACTCCGTTGGAGAGTATTTCAGAATGACCTGCCCTCTGCAATTTCCATTAAGGAAATTTGGAATTGTCAGAATTAGCCAAGATCAGAAATATTTTGAGGCAGGTCATTTTTTATGCTGCTTTTGGGTGTCTCTGCAGGAAAGAAAGCAGGGAAAAATCCCATGGAGCAATGAAGCACGTCAAATGTGGCAATTTACAATTTCATGGCCAGTTTTTCCCCTGCAGATACAGACTCCTTGAATGCTGGGGACATGTAATGTGGATTGCAAAGCTTCTTCTAACAAGGAGTGCCATGGTTCATGAGCCGGCACTTCATTTGTTGTGAGGAGAAGTAAAAGAAACCAACCAAACCCAACCCAGAACTGAGCAGGAGTTAGAGAAACAAGGGCCATGACAAGTGGTTGGGAAAGCAATTACTTCCTAGGTGTAATTGCCAAATTCTGTTGACCAGGTGGATTGCCAAGAGTTTAGAAGGAAAGGGATGTCAATGTAGTAGATTGGCAAGGAGCAGCACATAAGCAAAGTTGTAGAAGCTTTCTTTCCTGGCTCACCAGCTCCATGCAGTTCACAGGAATTGTAGTGATGCTAGTTGCATGAAAAATAAAAAGAGAGTGATCTCCTGATTAATTAAAAATCCCCTTGGGTGCCCCATCAAGCCTTGGATGGATTGATTGTAAAGGTGGGAGTTCACCCAA